GTATGGAGTCATAATTGTACGGAGAGGACTTGGAGTAGTCATCAACACCGGTACGTGTGCTGTCGACTGTACCAAATGTGGTCGGCTTGTAGTCGAGAGTGGCTGCGTAAAAGGGATCATTTAATAAAATTCAAGCCAATCTTTTCTTATGTATATGTACATATGTGTATATTGAAGAGTTAAGGATAGGAGAGAAGTACCGATACGGCAATGTTAAAGTGTTTTTATGATGGTGTTTTCCTAAAAGATTGATGTGTGCGAAGAGCGTTGCTCGATTAGAATTACTCACTCTTTGGTGTCAAAGTAAAACAGAGGATATTTTAGAGTACAATAATATTATAAATTGGAGTGTCTATTATTTATATTCGTCGATTGAACGCTTAATTCGAACGGAGAACTAAGCGATTATTGGATCAGGAAAACTGGATCTACTTTTAGAGCTTAGTGGCAATTAATATTTTAAATAAAGACGGCTGGACCATTGGGACTGGATATTGGAACTGCAGAGGTTTGGACTTTCAGTCTACAGATCTATGCACAAATTTGATGCTCTTCAAAATAAATCAAAGAATTACCTTACGTCTGCGGTATATCTTTAGCAGGGAACTCACTAATTGTAGCACAAAATAAATGGATGATAGAGCCCATAACGATGTATACTGTAAGACCAATTGTCTATTACGGTAGTAGTATTGTTGGTCAGGGAAAGACATTTACAGAGATATCGGAGCTCACCAATCAGGCCTACATCGATAGCAAATCTTCTACCCTCGAATGAGGAGCGACTCTAAGTGAAATGATAACCTGCTTAGCCTATGGAAGATCAATTAAACATTGTAAGCTCTATAACAACAGGGCCAAGTCCGATGTGCAATGATTTCAAAACTAGGGACAGGAGCAAAATACTGGACCTTTTTCGAGGATTTCGAGGATTTGCAAAACCTAAAACCCGATCGCGGAAATCAGGTCTCTTGTGAGATTAATATTGGAAAGTATTTCGGAACAAAAGCCTTTTCTATGAGCCAAAATGCATTGGGCCTCTCAGTACGCACTCTCAGCAAAGTAAAACTTTTTTCTTCGCAGAGAAAAACAAAAGACTAAAGTCTAACTCTGCTTAATTGCAATGGAAATTTTCGCTCTTGGCCATAGACTTTGCAGTATCTGTGTTTGTGAATCACTTTCTTGCAGACGTATCTTGTAAATTAGTTTCTTTTCTTAAATACTAAACATAACTGCCCCATTTCTAACATTTCTATTTCCAAACTTTACATAATGATTCAGAAAAGAACGTTTCTTTTATGGATCATTTCTGGATCGTTTCGGGACCTGTTCACTACACTTTCGAGTTTTATTTGGCATAGTTCCGGGACTACTTCGAGACCATTTCGGGACCAGTTCTGGACTAGTTCACAACTATTTCCGGACAATTTCGGAAGTAGTTTACGACTATTTTAGGATTAGTTCGGCAACATTTTGGAAATAATAAGAAACCTTTTCGGCATGGTTTCAAGTTCTGTTCAGGATCGTTTCGGAGCTATTTAAGAACCATTTCAGGCCTAGTTCTGGACGATTTAAAAATAGTTCAGGCCTAGTTCGGGTTAATTTCGGAAATAGTTGAAGATCTTTTCGGGACTGATTTAGTACTACTATATTTCGGGACCGTTTCAATACTTATTCGAGCTCATTTCAGGACAAGTTGACGATTTTTTCAGAAGAGCTTCATGACAATTTTGGGATCATTATGGGAATAGTAAGTGACCAATTCGGAATCGTTTCAAAACTTGTTCGAAATTATTTGGGGACAAGTTTACGACTTTTTCAAAACCATTTAAGGCCCATTGTGACACAAGGCCGAGATCATTTCAGGGTACATAGTCCATATTAGTAGCCAAATGATCCTGAAATAGTTCAAAACTATTCCCGCAGTGGTTATGAGAAAGTGGTGTACTGCTACCGACAAACTGAATTGAAATTAAATTAATGTTTTATTTCCAACCTAAGCTATTTATTTATCTAACTGAATCCCTTAACGCATTGCCAAGCCGTACAAAGATATTTACACATCAAATTTCATGAGTACCTGTTACTCACGCCTTTTTTCTTAAGGGCGGTTTTTTAGTCTAATCTAAACTCAGCTAACCCAAGCAAATGCAGATGCGTAGTGCAAGGCAGGAAATTGTATTCATACCTTCCACAGAAGTTATACAAACTTAACAGTCATGTGACGAATAGGACTTTATTTTCGCAAGTAGCTTTGTATCCCTCTTTAGTCTGCATGCTGTTAGTAGCTGCACTGGACTTCCCCTCTCTTTTGATAGCAGGAGTCTCAGTGATGGCTGCACGTCTGCGATCAGCTCCGCAACTACTGTCGCAGAACGGAATTTTCCGTTTTCTCATTTCCCCAAACACCACTTTGTTCTGCGACCCAGCAAAGATGGATATATTTAGGTGTATATATGGGAGTCTGAGAGCCGTCATGGCAACCAGACTTACTATACAACTTCGAATTTGGGTGGAGAGAATTCGTTCATGTTTTCCAAATTTGCATTGATCTTATCTTGCAGTAGACTTGAAGTCTGTAAGTCTGTTTGTAATATCTTCGTTGTTACAAAGGGTGGCGGCTTATCCGTTATTCTATGGGGAGCTCCGAAGTTGTAGCTAAGTTCTCTGTTATCTAATGTTAAAGTCTCTCTTTTTAACAAGAATTGTCTATGAAATAGAGGTAGTCCGTTAGACACGCTAAATCTTAGCCGCAGAGTGGCTCTGAACAGCGTCTCGAGCAACCTTCTCCGATTACACTGGTCTACAAGGGTTTTGCGAATAAGACGGGACCTGGTGTTTCCGAACGGATTTTTCGTGCTGAACACGAATCTGGGGTCCAAAACTTCCCATCACGTCACGTTTTCGAGAAAAAAGGGGTTGAAACCCCTAAAAA